ATGTTCATGTCTTTATTTCGTAACATCATCTTTCCGTGTCTTAGTGAGAGTATTTTAAACAATTTATACTTCCGTAAAGCAATGTTTTGTTTACTATGTTAGTCTGGATGTTTAAGTCAACTCTTACGATTATTACTATCATAATTAATCGTCTTAAATCTTATCCCGTTTTCTCATCAGAGTTTAATGCCCATAAATCATCATTTCAGGGGAGACTTTGCTAAACAGTTTAAAAAAATAAACTCACATAAAAGTTCCTTCTTGCCAAGGCGTCTCGACCAGAAGGGACCCAGGACAGTGTGAGCGGACCCTGAAAATATATTTAAAGAAGATAAAGTGAGTGAAACAGTTAGGAGAAATAGAGGAAAGGGAGGGAGGAGGAGGAGGAGAGGAGGAGGAGGAGGAGGAAAAAAGAAGAAGAAGAAGAAGAGGAGGAGGAGGAGGAGCAGAAGAAGAAGAAGGAGGAGGAGGAGGAAAAGTAAAAGAAGGAAGAGAAGAAGAAAAAGAAAAAAAAAGGAAGAGAAGGAGAAAAAAAAACAGGCCAGGAAAGGAAAAAACAAAAACCACTTGACTTTCACAAAGGAAGCAATATTCCGAGTCACACAACAGTCCCAATTGGCTCACAACCCCGAAACCGACAAACCCAAAGGCGCCTTCGAGCACCCCGTCGCCTCACCGGTCACTGGGTCTTCATCAACGCCGTACCAAGGAGCGAAAAAGCGGGACCGGACGTCGTACTTCTTCCTTTCGCCTTCCTTGGCTTCCTCCTCCTCCTCCTCGGGACGCCCCTTGACGCAGACGATGACGGCCTTGACCCTCGAGCCGTCGTGGAGGCGCTCCATCGCTCGAGCGTCTGGGCGGATGGCCTCGAGGTCGTGCCTGCGAGGGCGAGTACCCTTGGTTATCTCTCCCGCAGCGAAAGGGTTAGTTATGAACTCTGTGGGTGTTTATGTTGTACTGTGGGCGTGTCTGTTGTGTGATTGTTGTTGTTATTGTTGGTGGTTTTGCTGATTATTGCTATTATTATTATCGCTAATGATTGTTATTATTAGTGTAAGTGGTTTTGGTATCAATGTTATTGGCATAATCGCTCGTCTGGGTTGTGGTCATGTTTGTTTTGTCTGTTTGTATGTGTGTGCGTGTGTGTGTGTGTGTGTCTGTGTGTGTGTGTCTGTGTGTCTGTGTGTGGATGTGTATGTGTGAGTCTGTGTGTGTGTGTCTGTGTGTGTGTGTGTCTGTGTGTGTGTGTGTCTGTGTGTGTGTGAGTGCACGTGTGAGCACCCGATCCTCACCTCGTACAAGAATCGTCGACCTGAACCATAAGATACTTCAAGGCGCGAGAGATGGACACCGTCCTCGCCTTCCCCTTCGCCTCCCCCAGCGCAGCCTCGACCAAGGGGGACAGTTCCCGCTCCTCCTCGGAGGTCAGACTCACTGGCTCGTTCTCGGGGAAGTCGAGGAGGATGAGGTCGCCCTCCTTCCTCGCTAGCAAGGTCCCACTCAAGGTCTGGAACTCGAGTTTGCGGTTGGCGTTCTCTGAAATGGAGTGTGATTTATATATATATATATATATATATATATATATATATATATATATATATATATATATATATATACCGATTATTCATTTGAAGGACCAGCAGTAGGTGGAGGAGGAGAGTATCTTCATGTTGGAGCACGAGCTGGACGTGTCAAGATGAAGAAGGGGATTGAATGGAGGAGGAAAGCGTCTTACAGTCGAGGACGAGTATGGTGAAGGAAATGCTCAATTGGAGGAGGAGGAGGAGTAAGGACGAGTTCAAGTGGAGGAGGAGGAGGAGGAGGAGAACATCTGAGAGTGGAGGAGGAGCAAGGTGGATCAGGTGTCGAGGCGAAGGACGAATTTAAGTGGAGGAAGAGGAGGAGGAGGAGGACAGGTCGTCAAGGTGGAGGTCAAGGCACAGGAGGAAGAAGGCGTCAAGGTGGAGGTCAAGGCACAGGAGGAAGAAGTTGCCAAAATGGAAGACAAGACGAAGATGAAAAAAAGGTTGAAGAAAAAGAGGACAGTGTCTTCAAGTGGCTGACAACGCCTTCTTCAGGAAACCCTTCCTCATCAATACATCAATTCTGATTATGGATCTTCGATATTTCCCTTTTATCTTCTCTATTTATTTATCTTATTTCTTTTTTTTTTTATTTACTTATTTATTTATTTTTACTAATCAAACGATTTGGAGTCTTCAGATCAGTACTTTATTGCTAGGCAGACTTTTAACTTGATTGAATGCATACTGCACCTGTATACTGCGAATCACACAGGGACACATGTTTCAGTATCATTCTTCTTAATCCTATTCATTTCTTGCAAAGTAGTTCTGATTGTGCGTTTAGATTTTATGTATTACAGACTGATATTACTCCATGTGATGGCAAGTAGCCATATAAATACGTTTTTCATAACCTTTTATTTTTGTTTATTTATTTTTTATTTTTTATTTTTTTATTTTTTATTTATTTATTT